AAGAAATTCGAAAATATATTTATTTATTTTACAATTTTACCCTTATTTCTCTTCAATTAATTGCATGTTATTTAAGAACAACACTTACAAAACTAATCTTATTTCATGAATATTTAATATTAAGGGTAAAATAAGAGATAAAATAAATATTTTCGTCTTTATTAAAGTAGAAAGCTAGTTAATAGTTGAGCATTGTCTAGTTTTTTCTTCTTCTTATTATTATCCGATTATCTTATATATATATATATATATATATATATATATATATATATATTAACTGATGTTTCTTTTTTATTTAAATATGAAATTATTTATTCTTGTTAATGTTCTTTCGTCAAGAATCTACATAAAACATTCTCTCTAGTCTCTGCCCGCACAAAATAGGAGAAGAGTGCATACATACTATCTTCCCCAGACCCATTTACAAAAATGGCGGCAGTCAAGTTATCGTGCATGGCCACCGAATTAAGCATTATTTTGCACACAAAAATATTATTATTTTAGAGTTTTGTTGATTAAGGAAGGAAGATTCTTTCTATGGTTTTATTTTTTATTAAGAAAGATCAATTCTAACGTAATCTAAGGTCTAATAAGGTAGGACTTAGAAGGAACAAGGAATTTGTGTTAATTAGGTAGAGTAGATAATTAAATACTAATTATGTTTCAAATGCAAATAGCGCGTATAATAAATAAGCACAAAAAAATCTCAGGTATTGTGCTTTAATTATATTTACCAACAAAAAATTTATGTACGTGGATCCAGCTGCTTATTTTCTAGATAGATTAGAGCATAAATAAAATACTACTGGTGATTTGCGTTGGTAAAAGTTTGCCAAACTGTCGAGACATTTTGAAAAGTCACTCATAGCTGTTTGATTTTGACCTATAACAGTACATAGCTATTACTTTCTTTGTTTCATTTTATTTGACTTGTGTTTACTTGAAATAATTTTTAAAAACGTTTTATTAAATACGTAGAGTATTAAACTAATCTTATTAATAATATTTTAGGACTCTAAACTAAGACGGACACTAATGTAAATCTAAATTGTCCCAATAAAATGAGTATTATATTAATATAATCGATCACTTAATTTTTCTTTTCACCAATACATGGTTAATGTTAGAGATTAGTTATAAAATGTTGAATCTCCAGAATCTACGGGAGATAATAACACGCCACACGGTTCAAAAGGTCATCCTATTCCTTAAGCTATGCATTTTTTCCGTTTAATAGTGATTAAATTAGTTATAAATACATGACCAATAGAATTGATAAACAATGTGGAACTTTTCTGCACAAATCCAAATTCAACCAAGCGCCAATATGGGTACAAGACATCGGATAAAAACAAAATAACAATTAATCATGTTTATGTTGAAAAATTTCTTATAAGCAAACATCTCTTGCACAAAAGGAGGAGGACCAATTGAACATAGACAACTGAGACAAATTTGATAAATGAGTAGAAATTGAAAAGTGAGAGTCAAACAAGCAACAGGAAATTAATCACAAATTAATGGAAGAATAAAATAGTACTCAAGGGATATGTACCATTGATATAAAAATAATCAGGTAATTTATTAAATAATTACATGTAAATTTCTAAGTAATTTGTGGAAAGTGGTGACTAATTTACTATCATTTATCACCTAGCTAATTAAAATAAATTAATATGATTATGTGAGAATAAGTTTTTACCATAAAGAAAAGTTGGGTTCTACTCTGTTTGAATTTGGAATAGTCTAATTCCAATACATATGTCAAACCGTTTTTTAAAAAAAAATAAAATTGTTGATGGAAATAAATCCTACTTTTTGATAACTTTTGACTGTAGAATTTCTGATACTTTCCATGGAATGGAGGAGTCTTTTGTAGGTTGCTTAAGCGGAATTGAATTGATTTAACGCCATATATACGTATGTCAACTTTTGAATTGCTTCTTCTTTTTCCCAAACAATGCATGGAACTCAATTTATATGAATTTTTTTTATTCTAGCTAAAAACGAATGACATATTTTTATATTTAATAATAATTTAACTTAAAATATTTATTTTACCATTAATGAAATAATTTATAATTATATAAGTATTTATAACTTATTTTAGACTATAAATTTTTTAAAAATAATTCTTCTTCTTCTTAAAATTCGTATCTAGTCAAACTGATATAAAGTAAAAAAATGAGCTTAATTTAGATGGAAAAAAAAAGATGCTTTAAACCTCTTTTCTTGGTAGACAAGGTAACATGGAATGAGAAGGAATCAATTGGTGTTTGCCCCCCTTACTTCCACTAATGCATGTGACGTGTGTTCCAATTTTTTTAATAAAAAAAAAAAGAGATATCATTAATTCTCCACGGAAGTTATATATTACTTCCACTGTTTAAAAAAGAATGACCTCCTTTTATTTTTAGTCTGTTTAAAAAAGAATGATCTTTTTCTTTTTTTGGTAATATTTTAATTTCAGCTTTCCACGTGACATGTTTAAAACCATAAGATTAAAGGACAATTTTGTACGTTTGACATAACTTTAATTTAGGATCACAAAATTAAAAAATCTTTTTTATTTTCTTAAACTTCGTGTCAGGTCAAACTAGATCATTCTTTATGAAACGGAGGGAGTAAAAAAGAAGAAGAAGAGAAAAAATATTCAGGTTAAGTTGTTTTATAACACCAAAATAATTAAAAGAATTTAGCCTTTGTTTAATGATGACAATTGACAAGACAAAGAAGCACTTGACCCCAAATGTGCCTGCAGGAGGTAAGCTTTCTTATACAATGATGATATCTTATTTTTAATTAAGTATTATTAAAGTAATGGAATGACATGTGTGTGTACATACATACGTGATGAAGATGGAGTAATTTCCCTAAATAGTCATCCATGTTTAGAAAATTACCTAGAAATATCACTTATGTTTGTTTTAGGATAACAATATCACCCAACTTTACCTATTTTGCTCAAAATATATTTGACACAATAAATACATTATCTCTTTCTTACTAGGATGCTATGTCACATTATTCCTTTTTTATTATTAACAAATTTTTTTAAAAATTTAGATAATCCATATATTATACCCAATAAAAAAAATTACATAACGAACTCTAATATGAGCTCCTCCGATTCTTCAAGAAAATATGTGGTTTCTCCGGTTCTTCAAGGAATAAATTAATGAATTTGCATAAGGAACTGTCTCCTGAGCCGCTGTATACCTTTGATGACCAAAGAAATCGCCACGAGGTAAAATTCAAGTTTTCTTCTTATTCTTTTATTTTTGAAGTGTAAATTGTGAAATAATTTGAATACTTAACATGATATTGGAGTGATTTTCTTAAAATTTAGGGGTTTTTTGCTTGCTTGTTTTTGAATCAGATATTTCTATTGTTTAAATCTGCCTAAGCTTTGAACAAATGTTTATAGTTTGTGTAAAAATCTTTTTTTTTACCATGAACAAGAAACCTTTGATTTTTTACCGTGAACAAGCAATGGATATTTATAATTTGTGTAAAAATCAATGTTTCTAATACTCTATCTAGTTTATCTCTAAATATCCAACTAAATTTATTGTTTCTTCATCAACTTCAAGTAACTAGTTTAATTTTTTCCTCGACAACAAGACTAAATTTTTGTATGGATATAACGGCAAATACTCATAAATGAAACATAGAATAAAGATTTTCGCTATAAAATTGAAGTAACTAGATTTTCATAGAGAATGGATTAATGCTCTCTTATAGATACATTAAACAGGCTGTCATTTAAAGAATTAAAAAAATATTATTAATAAATTAAAAAATGTGACATGGCATCCTAGTAGGAGAGAGATAATGTATTTTTTGTGTCAAGTATATTTTGAGGAAAATAGGCAAAGTTAGATGATATTATAGTCCTAAAACAAAACATAAGTGATATTTCTAGGTAATTTCCCAAACATGGGTGACTATCTAGGGAAATAACTCGATGAAGATGATAGCGATCATCATGTGCATTTTAAGTTATTACACTACTAAAAAATCACTATATATTTTCTCACGAGTGACTGTTCCCATAAATATTTTCATTGAATCGGTTATAAAAATTTAAAAGCTTTCCACTTCTAGTGAAAATTTGTTTCCTATCATGCCATTTTTCATGTGAACTGATTTGGTAGAAAATGAGTGAAAAAATTAACATACTTTATAGCACAAATTTTCTTGGTGGAAAAAGAAACCTTATTAGTGTTAAAAAGAAAAATATGTGCAAAAACCAGTAATGCATAGGTGGGTGATGGAAGCTATATTTTAGAATTTGCCTGTAAAATTGTTGTAAGAAAATGGGCGTAATATGAATTTTATATTATATGAAAGAAGAAGTTTCTTTGTAGTTGGCACAATTTGTCAACATTATTTAGGTCAACCACAACAAAATTTGATGTTAAATATCATTCCCTTTATCATTAGTTGATTGTACTAAGTTTATTTTGTCGGTTCAATTAATGAAATTTGACTATCAATTTATTCGTAATTCATTTTGTTTTCTAGAGCAAAATCTTATAAGTTGTCTGGTAGTAAGTCCCCCTCTTGCTATTTTCATCTAAAGCTTTGAAAAAATGACGATTATAATATGGGTTTGTGGTGAGATGATTGAGATTCTTCCATCCTTAACAAAGATCTTAGATTCAAGTCTTGGTAATGGAAAAAATCCAATTGGAGCGTCAACACCATAAATGGATCATGTAATAAATATCAAACACCGTGTGGAACATTTAAAAAATAAACCATACATCTAAAGTAAGATGGAACGTAAAAGATATGCACTATTATATATTACGACCCCAAATTTTGAGAATTGATCAAGATTACACAAAAGTTGGAAGAAAATCAACATTAAAAAAATTGTTATGCATGCCTTTTAAATTTAAAAAAGTATACCTCACTTTATCATTATATTTTTTCAAAATTACAAATTTATACTGTAATAAAAAAAAATTATAACAGGAAATATTGATCAGTAAATGGAAACTGAGAAAGGGCTCGTAACTTTAACTTGCAATAGATGTAAACTTGGGTCATGGGATGGGCCGGCCCAGTTTGATGCACATGGACTGTATGTTTTTTGTAGTTGGGCCCCAATTGTCCCCCAACACCTCTCAATACATTTCTATTTTCACTAATTTTTCCATTTGATGTATCAACAGAATTTAACTACAACTTCCATTAGGGTCTGTTTGGAAAGCCACTTGGTAATTGGAATTGGTGTAATTACTAGGGTAGTAATTACCAGCCTAGTAATTACACTGACCTGTTTGGTTGCCACAGAGTGTAATTACATATGTCATGTTTGGATGCTACAGTGTAATTACACATGTTCTGTTTGGATGCACAATTGCAATCATAAAATTATAATAAATTTTAAAAATAAAAATTAATTATTTAAAATTTATACTAGACAAATAAAAAACTTTATAAATGACATTAAATTAAATATTTAAGATATATATTATTTTTTGAAAATATATTAATTAATAAACATATTTTCTGTAACTAATATTATGAAAAAATAATTGATTTATACTTTTTTCAAATTAATATATTTCAATTGAATTGATCGTAACAACTAAAAGTATGAAGTATCTACGAACATCATGAAATGCATGTTTGATAAAAAGAATAATATATAAATAAAATGTCATAAATTATTAAATGTTTGACAAAAATATAATCTATCAAGTCTAATTAAAAAATGTCGTGCAATGTAAATTCAATATTACTAAAACAAATGAAACTGAAAATATAACATAGGTTATAAATTCAAAACAAAAAAATTTAACGTAATACTCTTATAACAAATTTCAACATAGCAATAAATATGATTTATTTTTATTTTTTCTTAATAAAGAAAACGTAAGTCTATAACCTTACTTAACAACAAATTCTATTTTAATTTAAAAATTAGAATACTAATAAAATTATGCTAATGAGAAAATAAGCATGGCATCAAGAAATAGATAATACGAGAAAATTACATAGAATCACGTAAAGTAAGGTTGAGAACAAGAAGAAAATGAAATATAATAATATAAAATAAAAAATAAACTTATACAAATTTTTAGAATAATAAAAATAAAAAAAGAACTTAAAATAATAGAAGTAAAAAAATTTAAAACAAAATAAAAATAAAAATAGAAATAAATAAAAGAAATTAAAATGTAATCAAATGGTAATTACACCATATAATTACCAACAATTCACAGCCCCTGCCTGTGAATTGTAGAGTGTAATTACCTCCTGCCAATTACACCAATTACCTGCTGACCAAGTAATTACCTGTCCTTCCAAACAGGACAAGACAATGTAATTACACCAATTACCAGGGTGTCCTTCCAAACAAGCCCTTAGTGAATTGTTGAGAGTATTTTTATAGTCCAAAATAAGTGAATTGTTCAAAGTTCAAATGGTTACTTGAATTTTAAAAAATATATATTTACGCTTCATTTAATGAGTATTAAAAGGATAATAGAGGAAAGTAACATCTAACTTACTCCCTCTGTCTTTAATTACTTGTCCACTTTTCCTTTTATAGTTGTCCCTAATTACTTGTCCATTATGACAAATCAAGAAAGGACAATTTTTTTACCTATTATACCCTCAATAAATGACTAATTACTTTTAAAATGTGGAACTTTTTTCATCCACTTCATAATTAATAAGGGTAAAATGATAAACTCATTATGTCATTAATTGTTTTCTTAATAGGTGTGCCATTCAAAAATGGACAAATAAATAGAGACAGAGGGAGTATGTCCTTAAAATATTTTTCTTAAGGACGTGTCATACCCAATAATTTACTTAATACGGATCAGAGGGAGTGTAACAGAACATCTGAAATTTGAGGAATTTAATTATTTTTGAAAAAGAAAATGTAAGAGTAAATGGGAGCATAGAATGAATAAATTTTTAGATTCCCAATATCATTACTTTGGCTTTCCATTTCCCACTAATTAGAAGACAAATATACCATTAATAAAAAAAGAAAGAAAATGCAGTTCTATTTTCAGTCCTTTCATATTCTTCTACTCTTCTAAAGTAGTACAAAATGGGACTGATCACATAATTTAAATAAACTTCACAAGAGAACTAAAGAGGAAATTTTTTTTTCTCTAAATGGATCTTCTCAGTATTACTATCGCGTGCATTAATCTTCTTGCTTGGTAATTCATTCATTCTATTTTTTTTCATCATTATTGTTGTTTCAAAATTGTAAATCAAGCATGTAAAACAAATACAATAGCAAAGAAACGAAGAGAAATAAATAGTGGCAATTATAAAAAATATGATAACTTAACCAAAGAAAACAAGTTAAAATACTTAGATAGGGTATATTGTTATATTATATATAGTACTACATTAGTTTGCATGTAATTTTGATTGGATATATTCAAAGTCTTTACTTTATTTTATTTTTCTTATTGTTTCTTGCAGGCCAATGCTTGCTCTAGGATATCCTCTGTAAGTCAGGCAACTTGTCATTACCCCAAATTGTTTGTTTTACTTATTTATTCTACTGATTTAATTTGCACAGACACCAACAAAGAAATTAAAGAGTAAAGTTAGATATGGCCTCTTTTTGGTAATTTTAACAAAAAAATAATAATTCTGGTTACTACTGCAGATTTGTGACTATACGAGCTATAGAGGCTGGCTGTGTGTATGACAAGAGGAAAGTTGCCACATATTGGATAATGTTTTCTCTTATTTATCTGTTCGAGAATGTTTTTGCAAAATTTCTTGAGTGGTAAGTTAGGCATACTCTTTAACTGGTATCATATACTTTAACAACAATATATATATATATATATATATATATATATATATATATAGTGTAATCTTATAAGTGAGATTTGAGAAGGATGAAGTGTACGGAACCTTATCTCAGCTCAGCTGGTATCATAAATTGATAGTGTAATTTGTAAATATTCTTTGAAAGTAATGTCACTTATACTGATCTTGGTTATCTATATATATATATTGCAGGGTACCTCTGTGGTCGTATTTAAGATTAGTTTTCATGTGTTGGTTGGTGATACCTCACTTGAATGGAGCGTTTTATTTATACCAAAATCTTGTTCATCCATATTTGCAATTCAAACTGCCCAATGCTATCATTCAGTTGTGTGCTGAATGGCATAAAATACTAAAGAATCATTCAGTATCTATCAACAACGAGACATTTTTGGCTGTGGCAGAGAGTTGTCTTGATGAGAATGATTCTCTGATTGCAAGCAAGGTAGGACTGTTGTTATTGTTGATTAACTGCCAAATTACCTGCAGCCTTATTTTCTAGGCTATTAGTCCCCTTTTTATGAAGGTTTACCTGTAGTTATCAAAATTCCTATTTACAGCCTGAATGCAACGAGGGTGGCCAGATTTTGGGAGATGATATCCAAGAGATGGAATGCACAGCAAAATGCAATGCAGTTGAATCAATCCAGGTTATATTACTTTCTTGTATGTTGCGTTTTCACACTCATATTACTGGTTCATATACAATTGAATCCTCTGTTTGAGGACAGACAACTTATTTTTCACATCAGATTCTAATAATCTTCCATCTGTATATTGTTCATAAATCAAGAAAGAGTTGTCGGCAAGCCTGGTGATTAACATGATCCCATTGTTTGCAGATTGAGAACATATCAACTTCAGCTATACAGGTTATCAGTAAACCGGTCATTCCAGCAGTTGCAATACTCCCAGCTACTTCTTCTCTAGCGGTATTCCAGACCAGGTGGACATGTGAAATATGTGAAGTGACAGTCAGATCTGAGCTGACACTGCAATCCCATCTTCGAGGGAGAAAACACAGGGCTGAAGCTATGTTGTGGTGTACTTTCTGTAACTTGAGAGTCTCTGGCGAGATTGACATGATTGCACATCTCAAGGGGAAGAGGCACTTGACAAAGCTTCAAGAGACTTTTACTAATTCTGGTGCATCTTAGACTATTTTGGTTTTGGTCTAAGATTTTATGCCATCAGTATAATTAACCTGTTATAACAGGTTATTTCAATACTTCCCAAGTTACCATAGCAAAGCAAGTTTGCTATGAGAGTTGCCTATTGTCTTTGGTCAACTTAACCTGATGTTATGCATCAGTGTAATATAACCTGCTATAGCAGGTTATTTCCATATTTTTCCAAGGTTGCCTGTTGTTATAGGTCAAATAAACCTGATGGTATGACATCAGTGTAATATAACCTGCTATAGCAGGTTATTTTCATATTACCATAGCAAACCAAGTTTGCTATGAGAGTTGCCTTGTTGTTATAGGTCAACTTAGCCTGATGGTATAAAAGGTTACCTATTGTCATATGTCATTTAACATTTTGGTGTAAGAACAGTATTCACTATCAGTTTTTCGAACTAAATTTTATTCAATTCAGCCCTTTGTGTTCCCCTTTTCTGTTTTTATTGTAGTATCAACTTGTGTTTTATTATTGAGAATCTTACTGCTTCAATTATTATACCATGAAAAGGGTAAGAAGGATCCAATAAAACCAGAGGGTACTTGGGGAAAATAAAATCTGGTAACAAAAGGAACACCAGGGTATCAGATCAAAACGGGCAATTTATTGAAATGTTCTTTTATTGCACTTTTAAGAGGGTATTCTGAAGTTCTTCAAGACACATTTTATTACTTCTGAGAAGTTGGCATTGCTAGTGAGACACCAGAACCACCTGACAAATCCTTCCATTGCTGTGTTACTGTCTTGATTTGGGTGTAAAACTGAACTCCAGCCTTGCCTACAATGAAATCCCAAACAATCAAATGAGTACCAAGTACCATTCCCTAAAAGACTAGAAAATGTATATCATTGTTCCTTACCATAGAAATTGAGGTCTCCAGCGAAGGACGCCTTGGATCCAGTAAAGGAGAAGAATGGCAACGGAACTGGAATAGGAACATTGATTCCAATCTTGTAGAATAGCAATAGCAGAAACAAGAAGCAATAATTTTATCAGGAAACAGAAACAAGAGTTTTATGGTATAGGCAACAGCTGAAATGGGATGGCATATGATGCATACAAGGAACTGCTAGGCAGAAACAGCCTGGCACAATTCTCTATTCCTAGTGATTTGTTTTTGAGACATTACTAACCACACAAGCACTTCTATGAGAGAACATAAACCGTTATAAGGTCTTACAAAAAAAACTCTGACATGCATTCCCAAAATATCACATAATGAATATCATCCATGAAGTCGTGATTTTAAGTGAGGATTTAGCACCATTTCTTTTTTTTTTCTCCATATGTTACCAAGTTCATGCAGCAACATTTCGTACCTGGCCTGACTCTATCTCTGTTTGGAACTTCCTCGCTGCTACACCAGATGTGGTAAAGATAGCAGCACCATTACCATACCTGAAAAAGCAGAACGATATTAGTATAGGACATTAACACACTTCAAGAAAAATGAGTTTGAGGCTGGGGAGGGAAAGAAAAAAGAACAAGGCACAGGGATTACTTATTCTGGTTAACAATGTTAATGGCCTCGTCCAAGCTGTTGGCCTGAGAGCATCAAAATGACAATTCTAGTTTAGTATATAACTTGATAGGTATAGGTGAGGCTACATGGTGGAATGGTTAACAACTAAACCTGCATGCAAAGAAGAACTGGGCCAAAGATCTCCTCCTGTAAAAAAACATATATATTATATGTAGGTAATATGCCATGATCTGAAAATCAAGAGGGAAATTGGAGAATGTAGGACAACTACCTTGTAACATTCCATATCGGGAGTGACACCAGACAGGATTGTGGGACCAACAAAATTGCCTTTTTCATATCCTGGGACCTATTGGGCATCAGGGTAAAAGAAATTAAAACTTTCCAGCTCATTTTATAAATGAGTAGCTATTTCATGCAAGAAATTATGCAATTAGTTTCCTGCTCCCCAGCCCAAGAAAAAAATGATCACGCTATTATTCCTTGTTGATTTTGACCACCTCGCTCTGATTGGAAGTTGTTACAGAGTGACTTTGTAGGTGAGTCAATATGGTTTCCCGTAAATCCTTTTTTCTTTTCTTTTTCTGACAACTAACCTTCTTTCTTCTAGATAGGTAGTATTTCTTTTTCCATACGTTATATAAGGGAAAAGGGACTGTACTCAATCATCTCTTGAGGCATAGTATACTGCCCTCCTCCTTGCTTTACCTTATGAATTTGGACATATTTATGCATGTAAATTCAAAGTAGCGCAACTGAAATAAGATCAATCCCGCCGAACAGAATATAAGGCACTGGAATTGCATCATCACACGGCCATCTTGTAACTCCTCGAAAATCATAACATTCGCCTAGGATCAATTTTGCCAAACATTACTCAGTTTGATTGCCAAGCTCCTCTACTCAGTTTGATTGGGAAGAATCCTTTTCAACACATAACTGAAATTAAAAGGATACCGAGTCTACGACAAACGACAAATATATTGTGTTTCAGATATTCATTCCTCTAACTTTAAAACATTTTAAAGCCATCTTCTAAGCTCTGATCATTTCCTAGAACATCTTTATCATTATTGATCAACTCACCCCGTTGTTTGCATTTATATGAAAAAGAACATTTTAGGTGCTATCAGAAACAAAAATTAGAAGATGAGCAGATATAACTAGATACCACAATATCTCTTCCGTCAAGCAATAATTTGGCTCCACTATCAACGCCGCTTTGAACCAATCGACATACTCGTTCTTTTGCCTGTGGTATCAGAAAAAGGTCAGTCCAGAATCATAAACATGGAAATTTGAAAACAGCAGTCGTTGAGTAACTTGTTTGTACAAGTCTTAAATCATGTACCCACCTGCTTGCTAATTACTGGACCAAGATCTGCATCAGGTTCTGTTCCAGCACTGACCTTCAGAGTTTTTGCACGTTCCAACAGTTTTTCTTCCCTGCAAGATTTAATGTAGTCATGCATCAAAGGTGTCAATAGTAAACTAAAAGATATCAGTGAAGTGGATCTGTTACCAAGGTTTTGAGTCCCCAACAAAAACCACTGTGCTCAATGCCATGCATCTTTGCCCTGCTGCACCGAAACCAGCCGCCACTAAAGCATTTATTGTAGAATCTATGTTTGCATCAGGCATAACAACACCGTGGTTTTTGGCTCCCATATTGGACTGAGGGCATTTTCAGTTGGTTAGCTATGTATTTAGCCTCAATACTAACAATGATGTTAAACATGTTTGCCACATTGGCAAATACAGTTGAGAGGAGAGTTGGTAATATTGCACTAACCTGAACACGTTTTCCTTTAGCTGATGCTCTAGAATATATATGCATACCAGCCTGAGGGGTAATAGTAAAACAAGGAATGGTCAATATACCACAGGATGAACAAACTGATTCAAAATGGATCAGAAATCTATTGACAACCGATTTCATTTGAAAAAGAAACCAAGAGTTCATTTATTGATGTATTAAACTTTAGTATATGCTTCACCATCCACCCCGCCTTTGTGATGTGTCAAAACCTTATTGATGGCAAACGGGTGGAAGTTATATGAGGCAAAGACAAAGGGGAGAGACTTGACCACTCACATATAAAGCATAAAAACTAAGATTGAGACAACTACCAAAATATTTAGTCATTTATTTTAGCGCAAAAGAAAATGTAAATTCCACTAAGAGAATCTTTATTGACAAAATATGGAGAATCTAGATTTCTTTTCCCTATCTTTTGATAAGATAATAATTTCATTGGATTGCTGGGAAAATTCAAGGTATACAAGGTAGTATTCAAAAGTAGAGTACCTACACAAAAAAGAGGTTCTCTACAAATGCCCCCCAATTATCTATAGCGCATTCAAGTTCAAGGAAAACTTGTCAATGCTTCATACTAGACTATCTTAAAATGCTGAGATGGTTATCTGCAATTAAATTTCTAAATCACTAACAATTTCATTTGTAAGGTCCAGCAACATTCACAACTGTGGCAACACCTTTCTGGGTAAAGATTTAACTAAAACCTCCAAAACCAGAAAATATAAGTAGTGGTAGATCATTACTAGAAAAAAGTATAAAGAAGACAAGTTAACCCAGATGCACCCCCTTCTCCCACCCACCCAAAAAGTACTTAAATTGTGGCTTAAGGTGTCAAGAAATCAATGCAGTACTCACTGTATTTGAGCCAACAAATGATATGGCTCTGATATCGTCATCATCACATATAGCATTAACAACGTCCTGCAAGACAGAGGTATCATCAATATCCATAATTATGCCATTCAAACCCATATAAATATCTCTACTACTGATTCCAATAAATCCATGTTCGTAAAAGGGTATGGATGGATGGGATGTGGCCAAGAAAATGCCTCCCGGGAAGCATCAATATACTTTTCTATGTAGCGGGATAAAATGGAGATTCACTACATAGTTTTACCCACTCCTTTGGTGCCGTTTAAAATATATAGAATAAGAAAGCCAGATAGAATCCATACATGTATTGGACTAAAATAAAGGAGCAGAATAACACATAACCAGCAACTATAGGAAAAGACATACATGGGTTCCATGAACAATATTTAGAACACCATCAGGCAAACCAGCCTCCATTGCCAACTCTGCCAACATCATGGAAGCCCCTGAAACCAAATGATGAAACAAAATAAGTCAAATGCAGAAGGCAGCATAAATGATGCTCTCTTTTTTTTAAGTTATATACACTTTGCTTTACACAACTGGTACATGAACCTCTGCCCCTAAATGTTGCAACATCTTATGCTATAATAATTGAAAAATATGGAAACAGCTACCTGGGTCCTTCTCTGAAGGCTTAAGAATGAAGGTGTTGCCACAAGTAGCTGCAACAGGAAACATCTGCACCAAATTCGCATAAACTATATAAAGATACTCATATTTTCTGAAACTTAAGCTTAACACCCATTCCATGTCCCCACCCAAAAAAACCCACAGAGATTGCATGGGGAAAGGGAGAACGATAAATGAAAAGGTAGTTGATACAAAACAGCCCATAAAGATGGACATCTGATGACTAACAATAGTGTCATTCTAATCAAAGTTCAAAAGCTTTCTTGATCACATAGTGTTGTTATGTGAAAACAAGTGATTCCACAAGCAAGGTAGCAATCAAGGATAAGACAACCAAGTTCGAACAGAGACGAAACTGTAAAGAAATTTAAGAAATGCACTTAAATGTATGGAAACTATGAAAGGAGAAAAAAAAAATAGGAACATCCTTACCCACAAGGGAATCATTGCAGGGAAGTTGAATGGACAAATCCCGGCACAAACACCCAGAGGTTCCCTTAGGCTATAGGTATCAATTCCATTTGATACATTAGACACATACTCACCCATCTGCAAAGTTGCCATTCCACATGCATGCTCCACCACCTCTTCACAAAACAGAAAAACAGAAATTCAAGTTCACAGTCATCAAACAGAAGATGTTTCCTTATGCCTAAGTGAGTGAAGAACTAACCAAGACCGCGGAACACATCCCCTTGTGCATCTTTCAGTGTTTTTCCCTGCTCTGTAGTCACATTGAAGGCAAGCTTATCCTAAAACAGACACAGGATAAATGAAGTGAACAGAGATCACAAGTAAAGAACTGCAAAAAGATACGTTAATCCTACAAAAAACAAACCATGTTCTTCCTAATAAGCTCTTGGAATTTGAGCATGACCCGTTGTCTTGTGGTTATGGGTGTGTTTTTCCATGACGGAAAAGCCTCCTTGGCTGCAGAAACCGCAGATTTGAATTCTTTATCCGTGGTTAAAGGTATCTGAGAAACCACCTCTTGGGTTGCCTATGATCAAAACGCAAGCAATTATAAATTTCCCCTAGTATTAGCATTCCATGTAAAGATTGCAACTTTAACAGATAAACTTACTGGGTTTATAACATCAACGAATTCTGATGATTGTGAATCTACAAAGCTGCCACCAATTAAATTTGGAACTCTCTGATAAAAAGAAGATCAAGAAAGTTTTTAACCCTAATTAAAACACTGCTTCATAAGAAAATTTTCAGAGAGATTAAAAAGCTGTCTCATTGATTGAACAGCGAACAAAAAGTATAAGAAATAAAGCATCATCACACTAAACCATCAATTAACCTAAAACATGGAGTAAATAAATACTGACTAGGGAAGTTCGATGCTTCCATGAGGATTCAGTAGCAACTGAGAAGTGATGATTAGCGAGAGCAAAAATCCCAGGAGTCAAAGACCTTACTTTCCTCACTGCAACAAACAAACAAGATTCATGGATTACTATCAATTCACAGAAAAGATTAATATGAAAAATAACAAAAACGGTATGCGAAACCTCACCTCTATGAAATGAAAACTGCATCATTGTTCACTTGCCCTCCTAAATATTTTGTTAAAAAAAAAAAAGGTATATTCGAAATTTTAAGTCTCTCTATATATATTCAATAAAGGTAATGTTTTAGAGATTATTATCCAATTGATGATGAAGATCATCGTCAGTCTTAATATTTTTGGTAATAAATAATATTTGCCGTTTTGGCAGATTAGCCATATCAGATTAGATGTCATACAGTTGTCGGGTATCTTAACATATTAAAAGACCTAATTTTTGTTTCTTCTTCCATAAATCTCTTAATTTTAGATAACGTAAATCACATCTTTATGACATTTATATTTTAACATATAAAAATTGAAAATTTGGGATAAAAAGATAATGGGTACCTTTGAGATGATAATAACAAGATGTAGAACGCGAGTTGTGAATTGCAATTGAAGAAGTGAAAGCCAAAGCCATTTTTCAAATGCAGATCTTTTATCTAGAGATTTTTAAGAAAATGATAGTGTTATTATAAGCCAAAATAATTTCTTATCTACTTTTAACTATTTAGTTAAAAATTATATTAGAATTAAAACCAAGTAATAAGTTTAAATAATATTTGAAATCAATATTAAATTTAAATGACACATGTAGGCGAGAAAGGTTAATATAATCTATATATATATATAAAGGAGGACCATAGACAAGGTGATGTGGTACCTCTTTATGACCTCCATTTGCATTTAGCATTTTTCTTCTTTTTTTGGTTTTTTTTTTTAAAAAAAATTAATTATTATATTATAAAAATAAATTACTTAAATTTATTACAAATAAATATTTTATTGATGGAGGAACTTTTATAACAAAAACTCTTCATTTTTTTTTTATTTGTCTCACTTATAATAAAAGGAGAAACATAATTTATCTTTTTTTGACTTTATTTTAATTCAAATTAATTATTATATTGTAAAAATATATTACTTAATTTATACAAATAAATATTTTATTAATGTAGGAACATTTACAACAAAAAAATTCTCCACATTCTTTTTTCTATTTTTTTTTATCTCACTTCAAATCATGAAATGATAATAAAAAATTTTACATTTTAAGTATTTTTATCTTTATTTTTTAATTTATTCACAAGGAGTTATTACCCATGACTTTCCCTTCTTTAATTTTTACTTTTAATAATATTCATAACTCTCATAATTTTTATGTCCATAACCTCCAAACTTAAATTTGTAAGTTTATGATGTCTTATGGTATTCCTTTATTTTGCCTATAAATTCATATTAGTTTCATGAAAATTCACATTCACAATTATCCTTTCTCTTTTCATTATATTGGTTTGGTTTGTAACAAAAAAGAAGTACATCAAGGTAAGAAATATTTCATTGCAAATTTTTATTTTTTATTTCCTCTATTTTTGTCTATATAAATTCGTATTTGGTTTGTGAATGAAACTAACGTGTATAAAAAAAAAGTACATGAAATTAATAAATATATCATTCTCAAGTCCTTATTTTTTTCATTTCCTCTATTTTGTCTATATATTCATATTTATTTTCATGAAGATTCACATACAAAGTCATTCTTAAGTCTTTCTTTTTCTTTTTATGTACTTTGACATGCTTTCTTAATATTTTTTAATGTTTGTATTATCAGTCATCAAGCAAGTATGATTAAAAAAAATCTCTGTAATTCTTAACAATGTTTTATCTGTATGCAATTGCTCTTTCTAATAGTTAGTTTTCCGGATATAATATAGTTTGATTATAATATTTGTTAGATTTCAAGAAATAATAATTATTTAGTATTGTTAGTACTATTGAAAAGATAATATACAAATATATTACATATAGTTTAAATTTCGTTCTTTCTTTTGACATTATTATTTTTAATTGGTATATGATATTTTTTTTTATTCAATTGGTTGCATATAATGAAGAGTTTGACATATGGATCAAAACATGATGGCGGATCTACTTGCAAAGGAAGATGATAGAAGGAAAAAAAATGAAGCATAATTAGAGATTATTTTTTTACTTTGAATTGTATTAGCAACTTAGTTACTTTTGCTAAAATTTTCTAAATATTGATTTGTATAAATAATTTAGCTAAATGTATTATATTGTCAATGCTAATCATTTGATCCTTTATTATTCTACTTTTTCTTTGTTATGAAGCAAAATTAATATAATTATCTCATTTTAATAACAACAAAAAAAATTATGATGATTAGGAGTTTCATTTTTATTATAATTATAAAAAAGTAATTGAAAAATAAAATATTATTTTCATGATGCCATTTTTTGCGTATGTAACAATCTATTTTCGTCACCGTTCTTTTTGCTTTGAAATGTATTTATAATTTTTATGTAGTCACCAAATTTTATATTTTCTCTGTTCATTTTTTGTACTTTCACCCCTTATTTTTATTTATTTATTTTACAAATAAAATCAATGCATAATTAGTAATACATTTAATGTCTAATAAAATTATACATTTGAATTATTTATAACTCATGTCTCTTCATCTTACTTGTAACTTTTAATATTAAATATTATTCATAACTTTTGTATGTTTCATTTTTCAAATAATTAATGTTTAAAAAATTATAATAAGCAAATATAATAATAAGGACATAATAAAAAAAATCAAATTTGTTTTGACGAAATCAGAGTTTGAATAGAAACTTAGTACTCCTACAAAAGATAGAGAAAATTAAAACATATAAAATATTTTCAACGTAATACAATATATTGTTATTTCAACATATTATCTCTTATTCCATTTACTTCACCACGGTGAATATTTTGTTCCACTATATACATATACAAAAAAAATTATATTTTATATGTTTAAATAATATAAAAAAACCTATGATATCGCAGATGAAGAGAAATATTAATATTATCTATATATTCGATACTAACCTAAATATTACATATTTCATATTATTATCTTATAAATATTTCATATAACCGCGCGAAGCGCGCATAGTTTCACTAATTCAAGATATACAAAAAAAAAACACAGGATATAGTCAAATATGGAACTTAGTAAAGACATAATAATTTAGAGAGATTTAGTCAATATCTCTTTAAATTAAGGAGAGGATCACAAAATAAGAGATAATTTATATTAGGGATTTGCATATCTGCCCCTTGGAGTTTTGAGTAGTACTGTTATTTATTGGTAAAAAAAATCACTATGGAAAAAAATAAGTTCTATAGAATATATTGAATTCAAAATAGGATAAACGAGATAGGAGATTGGAGAGGTAGTGTCACACTGTAGGAATTATTTTTAACTTACTTAGGTTATTTCAAAAAACCTACAACTGATGACTCACATTTTTCTAGTTCCAACTATGAATTTTTGCAGTAAAAAGTTCAATGTCCAATGAGATCCATCAAATATTGGTACTATCATCCCTTGAATGTTCTCCCAGAGATTCACCATCACAAACTGGGAATCATTTGGGTGTAAAGGCAGATGGACTCTATCTACATTTGAGATATCCCTTCCCCCGGAGATACTCCATCGCCACTCTGATAACTTAAAACTTGTAGTCCATCATTACGATAATGTTGGCGATCCTCCTTCACTACTGGGGAATTGCTTCCATTGCTGAGTCACTGTCTTTACTTGGGTGCAGCAGCATTTATGCAAACCTGAGTCCATCAATATGCAAAAAATTGTTAGATTTTCCGACAAGTTCCCCAGTTTTTCCATTTGTAATTATGATTTTTTTAGTAATGCTGATTTCTGGGCTTATTTGTGGGTATCTTGACTACCCACTAAATACTTGATCCCTCCCACCAACACATGTATCAGTCCTACTCGGTATCTCACTTCCTGGGAAGTATTCCTTAGTATCCTTTTTGATTAACCAGGAAGTGTGAATTACAATATTAAAGTAAAAAAAAAAAAAAGGATTTCCTACCTGTCTTGTTTCAATCTCAATCTGGAATTTCCTCGCAAGTGCCCCGAAGCCCGTGCAGATAGATGTTCCATAGCAATATTTTCTTCATAAAAGCGGTGTAAAAGACGAGACCAAGATAAAAGAAAAAACTACACACAGATTTTATAAAGTAATGGAAAAATACTTACTTTGGTTCACAAAGTTAATGGCCTCATCTATGCTATTAGCCCGCACTTAAAACGACCAGGAAAATGCACCAAAGAACAGGAACCTTAGAAACATAGGACAAACCTGCATACAAAGAAGAACAGGACCTAGTAGTTCCTCCTGCACACAAAAGAAACAATAGCACTCTAAGAATAAAGTTTTTCCATGCATGCATGAAAATACTCAAGGAATTAAATTGAAAACTAGATACTACCTTGGAACATTCAATGTCTTCTTTGATATCAGATAATATTGTGGGACCAATGAAGTTGCCCAACTCATATTTGGAAACCTAGTTGTCATCCACAAATGTTTAAGAGAGAAGAAAGCAGCTTTGGTACCTTTAAATTGCAAAAACGAACTCCATATTAGACCACATCCCTTCTCCTGTCTAAGAGTTTCTCAAAGAAAATGCAATCATTGCCACGGAGACTGACAACCAAAAGAATAATCTAATGGTGGAAAGTCTGCAACGCTACCTATTTTATCTTTACTTGCAGGCAGATGACCAAGGAATCAAACTAACATGTCTGGTCAATCAGGAAAAAACACAAACAAGAATCTTACAGATTTTGCCAATTGAAGGAAGTTAATTTGGAGAAATGAAACATGACCTCAATAAGTGAAATAAGATTATGAGAAACTGATACCTTCTACTCTTCTTTTTGAACATTTGATACCTTGTATTCTTCTTTAGGCCTCTTACAAGTGGAAACAGGAAAAATGACTCTGTTTGACTTCCTATTGCAATCAGTTTTATTTGTTATGCTTCAGAAGAAGCATTGCAAGCATATGGCAAGTATAACTCATGAGATAGCACTATCAGGACAATCCAGTGTACCATAAATCTAATTACAATCACATTCATCGAGTTCAATAGTTTCTTTCAACAAATCTTTCAAGTTCAATACTTTTTAAATCAGCTCAGGTCTCTTTTCACCCAGGGCTGGTCCCTTTTTTTATGGGAGGGCGGGAGGTTATCTTCATCAAACAACTCCTGAAGCATAAGAATCAAAAACACAAAACAGCAAAGTAGTGAAATTACCGCAACTTGTCTCCCATCAAGAACTAGTTTGGCTCCACTATCAACAATTGCTTGGATTTACTTGGATATCCGTTCCTTGACCTATGAATGCCACACCAAATAATCAGATAAATGAAACCAAGAAGGAGAACGAAAAGTAGCACTAGCATTCATCAAAGTACTGAAGTTAAGCGACAAAAAAGCAATAAATGAATGGTAATTTTGCAGTACAAACTCAAGATATTCCAGCACCAACTGTAAATATCCTATAGGAGTAGAAATTAGAGTCAGTGTATGCACGTGTTTGCTAATTACTGGTCCGAGGTCTGCACCAGGCTCAGTTCCAGCATTTACTTTAGTACCTTTATGCATTCTGCTAGTTTATCTTCCCTGTCAGGAATAATTAAGACACTCAGCATATAAATAGAGCAAACATGCACTAATTAAATAACTGCGAAGCAACAGCAAAATGAAATCTTGCACAGCACGAGTCTCTGAGATAAAGATTGGAGCAGTTAAAAGTATAAGATCAACCTGAACTTGGAAAAGGATATACAAGTCCACCACTAAAATGTGAAAAAATGTATGATCCATACCTTGCCTTGAACCTTACTAAATTAAAAAAATTACTGAACTTAAACTTGTCTATTCTTTTTTTGCACTTACCAGAAAAGGAAGAGTGTGATGCCCTATAATCCAACTCCTCAAACTATAAGAAACGAACTTCCTTATTTTCCTTTGATAACAGTGGCGTCCGCGCTTACTATTCCACTAGGTACCTGGTACCTTCCACAGCACACCTACCGAGTAACTTTATCCACCAAGGCTTAGGCAGATGGGAAAGAATCACTAAGTGTTTTATTGTCTACATTGGGATTTGAACCATAGTCTGCATGGTTCACCCCTACTTCATTGACTTAGGACACACCCTTCGGTGCAAACAATGACCTTCCTCTCCATACAACACAGAAAGGTGCCATTCTTGGAACAGACTAATAAGGAGAAAGTGACACATTACCTGGAACAAAAGGAGTAATTCTAATGAAATTTAAACTCAACTTGGGTGTGTTCGGTACCAAGGAAAATGTTTTCTAAGAAAATATTTGGGTTTCTTACTTATTTTCTTGTGTTCAGTATGTAAGCAAAAGTATATTACCTAAAGGCAATCGTATATAATCTAGACAAATACTAAGGGAGGTAGGGGTGTGGGGTGGTGACGATGGGGGCTATGGAGGTAGGGGTGTGGGTGGTGAGGATGGGGGCTATGGAGGTAGGGCCGTAGGGGTGAAGATGAAGTGTGTTGGAGGGTGGGAAGTCACGGTCAATGTGGAATACGACTTTTGAAACTTGTTTTCCATACTTTCATTAGGGAAGTCATTTTCCTTATTTTTAAGCAACTTGATTTCCTTGAGAAAATGTTCTCCAAAAAATTGACCAGCCGAACATGGGAAAATTGAAACCATAAAATGTTCTCCCCATTACGCAAACACATAAGCTATCAAAGAACTTCTGAATTTTGAAAAACTCACAATCGGTTGCTTAAATCTTAAGCAATGAATGGAGTGCTAAATCTTTCTTTAGCTTTAATAAGTCCAAAAACCTCCCACCAAGCTATCATAAGTCTTAAAATTATAAATTCGTTACTCCTCTAACTTGTCTGAAGTTAAAATAGCATGTAAGTTTGTCTACTATGTAAGTGCTTTAACTTGAAGTGTTAGAGACAGACCTTAATTTTGAGTTTATATACCTAAAAGATTTACAAGCATCTTAACTTGAGCAACTTTGGATGCTTTTTATCCTTACGGTGCATAGCATTTGATTTCTTGGACTATCTAGAAGGGCGAAGTGGAGTTATCTTTACAAAAAGAGACTAATGGTAGTCATGCATACATACTAGAAGAATGAACTTTTCTTAAGTGACAATCTCTTTGACAGTCAGCGAAGAATATAACATACAGTCACCTTCCAGTAAACAGGAAAGTTCTTGCCTCAGCAACAAACAACAGACAAACTGGAATTTAAGAAAAAAAAAGCAGAAAAGCGAGTTGATCAGATGAAAAACTGGAGAATTAAGATGAGTACCGTGATTTTGAGCCTCCAACAAAGACCAGTGCTAATTGTTGTGCACCGTTCCCCTGCAACACCAAAACCAGCAGCAACTAGAACATTCAAAGTAGCTTCAACATTTGTATAAGGCATGACAACAGCATAATTCTTGGTTCCCATGTTGGCCTGAGGAGAAAAGTTAAAACAGTGAGTTAGCAACAACTAGACTATGGTGCATGGACTCGTTTACCAGTATGTTTGAATATCGGTGTGTACAAGTATTGTGTATGGACATTTTTTTTCCCTTTTTCTGAATATCCAGTACATTTTAAAGATATAAATAAAGTAAGTAGCTACTTAGAGAAAGAAATTCTCCCCTCTTCAAACTGTCAACCAAATCTGATCGAGCTGAGAAACGTAAGTTAATATATGGCGAAGAGAAAAGATATACGCCACTTCCATTTCTGGATTGAACGGACATGAATCTGGTGAGATCTTACAGGGAGGTACCTGCCTGCCTGGCACTATTATTAGAAGGGATGCAGGCCTAGTGTGTGGACTTGTTCAGGAAGATGGTGACTTGTGTGGAGATTATTTTGACTTTTGTGCATAACAGAGACATCTAGTATGAAATTGGAAGTGAGAAACAAAGTCAATGCTTTGATCATGTTGTTGTCGAAGATGGAGGCTTCTGTTACTAATTCTGAATTTTGTTGGAGACGGAGATAGTAGTTTGATTACATAACCTAACCAGAAAGTTGAAGGAGATGATGAAAGAGATGGAAAGAGAAAAGAGGATATGGAAGACCGATCCTTCTGTATTTTTTCGATTTTGTGGAGTGAAAAACACAAGAGAACTCTTGAGCGTATAGAGAGTCCACTATTGAGGTCAAGAGTTTTCTTTAATTTCCTTTATACTTTTGGTGTAAGATGAAATTAGTATAGCGAGTTGGTTAGACTTTTGGGGAAGCTTGATGTATTGCTAACATCCCACAAACTGAGGAAGCTTGCGCCAAATGAAAGTGTAGGTTGAGGGAAGCCACTTAAAACACTTATGTGAAGATCACACCATCTGGGTGTTGTGCAAAAAAAAAAAGTAAAAAAAATTGACTCATCAAATTAAAAGAAAAAAAAATCAGCATAACTAGCCACACCCACATAACATCTATTCACATGGTACATCAAGACAAATGAAGGATCCATGGAGCAAGAGTATCTATATTTACCTTAGCACCTTTACTGTTGTTCGCAAATGGTCTGCCACGCATATACAGTTGAGCCTTGAATTGTGAGAAAATAAGGAATATGTTATGAACATGATGAAGAAGATGCAAATCATAAAGTAAATGAATGCAATCAAGAGAGGAAGAGTATGAAGGCTGTAGAGTTTTTCACAATAAATAAAAGCATATAGTTGGAATCATACCACTTACCGCTATAAGTAAATTACTGCCTCTCAAGCAACAGGGAGGATTGAAAAAACAAACATATATTTAACTACAGGATTCATTTTCCTTAGATGTTTACTGTATCTTCCCACCATACTTTGTGTTGCAGTACCTTTTTTTTTTTTTTCCTTTCTGATTTGGGTTTGTTTTCCATTTTTCTTTCTTAGAGGATACTTAGACTATTAAACAGTGCAAATCATCCTTACAATAAGATCCTGTAACTTGTCATTTTCTTTCTGCTTTGTTTCCAGTTGGGGATGGGAGGAGTATTGCAGTATCGAAGCATGGATCTATAGCTTCCATATGCTTGCTATGGTTGATTACTTCAATGACTAAATTTCTTCTAGAGAATATTTTTATTATTTACTCGCTTCCAAACTTTCTCAGCTTATCCTCTTTTTTGTGTTTGATAAGTTAGTAAGTTGATAGATTGTTTTCTATACTCCCTATCAAAAGTTAGTCATTATACTTAAGGTAGAATTAGAGTGACCAAAAGAAACTAATACAGGGTTATGCAAGGGTCAGAGATCCAAAGAATGAAACACTACATCAATACATCATTACCACGAGGAATGTTTTAACCCCAAAGAGCGTACAAAAAAAAGCAACAATTTCAGACAATAAATGTGTTTACCCAAGAGTCAAACTTACAGCATCAGAACCAACAAAAGACACAGCTTCAATATCGTCATCATCACAGATGGCATTGACAATGTCCTGCACCAATACGTTGTGTTAGTGCAGTGAGATCATATATGTTGGATACGAGCATAGATACTATGAGCAATTTAATATTTTGAATTATGGTTGTATCCTATATTGGTTGTCCACATTATCATATTTCTCAATTTGATATGCTTAAAGAAGAAATTCATTTGCAATTCACATGACCAGTACAGTTGGTTTGGAAATTTTCCATTAGCTTATGGCGTACTAATCTTTACAGCATCCATACACCTTCAATTTTTATGGATAAAAAGAAAACTACTGGCTCATTATAAGCAGTGAATAACCATACTAGTTTCTTGACATGAAAATGGTTACAAGTGTACTTCTGCAATATAACCATACTAAAGCCATTGGAAATGATGCAGATTTCTTGCAAGTAATTATAGTAAAACTAACCTCTTTCAGAACTATTCACCTTAAATTTTCACCCAAAATAACCAATTACTTGGAGCTTTCTCAGATGGGTTTAGAATGAATGTATTGCCACATGAAATTGCAACTGGGAAGACCTGCAAAAGAACTCACCATTAAAGTCATCAGTTAGTTCATAACACTGTCATACCACTTGCCAAACAGCCCAAACCTTGAGAGTTGAGAGAGAGGAAACAAATAAATGATTTTTTTAATAAAAAGTGCAGTTGACCTAAGCTTCTTTTGAGCAAAACATCTGCTAGACTTCTCTAAGGGCTAATTGATGATAAAAAAACCAAGCTTCCTAACATCTTCAATAATCAAACCCAAAGGATCATCCAAGAGACATCAGTAGATCCCGAGGAAAAGACACAAGCTGTGGATGCACCACTATCCTTAGGGATCAAAGAAGAAGACAAAAGGAATTGTTCAAAGAAGCTACTGCAGAACATTGATAAAAACACAAGAAAAAGAAGTTATGGGGAAACCTTAAAAAGTTATGTCATCTGAAGGCCGAAGGGTCATTCAGTTCATAATGCTAACGCTCTTGTTGATATGGTTGGAAATCCTCCACATATTTAGGGGAAAAGACAGCATTTAAGTACACATCAACAAGTTTGTAGAAATCCTGTTGGGAAGTGATAAGCATGTATTAGATGGAAACAAACTTTAAGTTCAATTATAATGTTGTCCTAACCTTTTGTAATTATGGATGCCGCAGAT